AATAAACTAGATGTGAATCTATGTGGATTCTGTGGATTCATGCAGTGCTCTAGTACATATGTACATATGTTCCCGTAAAACCCATCCCAGAGTTCTTAATGTTGAATATACAAAATATATAAATTATATGTAGAAATGAGAAGCAGTCTTGACTTCGATTCTCTCTCTTCTGGATCTCCCTTACTGGAATGCCCATCCCTATACCATCACTCACCATCACACCCTGGATTATCATGTATGTATGTATCATCAACTCACAGGATATTGGGATAGAATACGATTAAAGTTCTGAACAGCCGCGTTACGGTATTGGATATGGGATAAACCAACGCAGAAACATGGCCATTCAATACCGTCAATCGGCTCAAAACAGAGTACACATTTCACTGCAGAAAACAGCCCGGAACACTCACTAAATATTGATTGTGGTACTGCCGAATAACATCGCTGCTTTTGGATTTCCAAAGACACCAATAGCAACGCGTTCTCCGCTAGTACTTCAATCGTATAAGATGGAGTAGTCCCGAAACTCTTTAGGCACTAACGGGATACTGGCATGCGAGGATATGGTGTTGCTGAATTTGTAACTGATATTATAGTAATTATTATAGTCTCCCTCCAGCGTTCGTCACAGAATATTGGGATACCAGACTGGTTGATCGGAGTATTGAAAGAGGTGGCTTGCTGTTGGTTTTCGAATACACCAATAGAGAAGCATCCTCTATCAGTACTTCAATCGTATGAAACAGGGATCCTCCATAGATCGTCGGTCGATCTGAAAAAAGTGCACAGAACAGTCTCGATTTGATGGACACTCGGAAACAATTTGAGGATGATACGTGGATCAACAGACCAGACATTTCGAATATGCTCACCCACCCTCATCAAACGTATGAAACAGATTAATGATCCTCAGGAAGGGGTCAGAAACGATCGCTCCCGAGAGTGCACAAACAGGGGTCGATGCGAATCGCAGAAGTTGGCAGAAAATCTAATTTATTCAATTGAAAATATAAAAATATTTTAGCCTTTCCACCCACTACTTCAACCGCATAAAACAGTGTTCTCTTCACAGTACAATATGATGATATTTGGATCATTTAGTATGCAAATATATAATTTTTCTGCTTCTACACTACGTTGATCATAGAAAACATTGATCAGGATCATATTGGTTGGACACTCACTCACTCACTTTAATATGTTGATCAAAGTTGTGAATAATCATGCGGCTGTATTGGATATCGAATACACCAATACAGAAACATGACCATTCACTACCGTCAATCAGTGGAAAACAGTGCACACTTTACCCAAAAAACATCACCGACACTCACTGGACACCCACAAGATATTGATTGTGGTACTGGCTAAGATACACCAAAGGCCAGTTCTTCAATCGTATAAAACAGAGCAGTGCAATCCCTAGGACTGCTTCCTAGGACGCTCTTTGCAGGACATTGGATTGAAACGTCTGCGTATCCTCAAATTTGTTCAATTTTGACTACAAGAACTCATTTTGTGCATAGGCAGCTACTTAAATCGTCTACAAAAATGTTCCTATTGGATTATTGATCCAATCTTTGATCAGAGCACGACACCGCACTCGAATGTGGAGTCGTTCACTGTGGCCAAGAAACAGAGGCACTCTGGATCATATGTCGTTACTTCAGATACAAAAAACTGAAGGTAAAAACATATAACCTAAAGTATCTCATTTCATTCTCATTTGAAGACCCCTGTAAAGGAAAGGATTTTGTTGTTATCTGTGGTAAATAATTCTTCAGATGACCGGTATAACATGGTTTTTAAATATAACATATAATACCTGGCGATCTAAGGAACTAAAAACATTTGAAATATACATGTATTTGGCCACTAATTGATTGGTTGAATTGACATATCTTTTGTAGCGAATTGTCTCGATTTACTGATGATCTTAGCAATACACATTTGTTTTAATCCAAATCTAAATCATGTAAAACTGCAAGATTATTAGCAAAAAGAGATAGTATTTAAAAAAAAAAAAATGTTCTCACATAATTTTTTTGATTTATATCACAGATTGTCGTCATGTGCACAAAACGTTTTATTCAGGGGCTTTTGGAGGAACATATTCTTACCAAATGTCCGAGCTTCAAGCAATGATAGCACTAAAAGTCTGGAACATTCGATAAAAGTACCTGCCCCAGCGATCCTCGTGACGTCTGAATAATTATCCAAGCCAACCGTACCTTATCGATTTAATAAAATATATTTAGTCACTAATGCGTAATTTGTGGCTAAGAATCAGATGAAAAATTAGCGAATAGGTGTACCAAGTGGTGGAGTACCCGATAGAAGCACCAGCTCCCACGATCCTCGTCGTAACTTTCGCGAATGGGTTTTGTGATAAATAAATTATTATTATCCGAGTCAGCAGTAGTACACCTGATGACCAGAAGAGAGATATGTACACGCTATAAACACAATATTTAATTTAATTTTTGTTCACTGTAGTCTCGTGGTTGGTCCTGAAACTGCAATTAGTGGGAATATGAGTTGGGATTTGGCCTGGCATCACATTTTGCTAGCACATTGTTAACTTTCTGACGAAACTTGGAGGTCTGCCACATTGGAGCGGAGACTTGGGTATGCAAGAGAGATACCTGGTGCAGGAGTACATTGCATGTATGTGTCTTACGGAGAACTGTTCAGTGTGGCAGTCATTTGATAGAGTCGCAAACTCATGCAGATTCCGACCTGCAGTCTGAGCGCATTTACATATTCGTACACCCCCCCCCCCCCAAACTGCGACTCATATGTTTGTGCGACAGGTACTTGTGCGTCAAAGTACGGACCCGACCCCGCCCCGCCCCGCCCACAACCCAGCCACAGAAACCACAATCCCTAATGGGAGATGCTCGTACGCAGATAGCAGATGTACTCGTACGCATACGCACAACGCAGTGCTATAGGGGGTGGGGGATGGGGATGGGGATTCGGATGCTAGTGGGAGTGGCAGTGGGGTTTGCCGAGTCGTAGGAGCCTTGTGTGGCGTCACCAAATGCGCAACAAGTACCAGAAGGAGTCCGACAAAAACAGAACGCCGGAGAGAACATGTCAAAAGAAAACAAAAACAAAAAAAACTCCACTCCACACCACGGAGCAGGAGCAGGAGCCACAACAGAAACAGGAGAGCATGAAAACAGGGAGAGCACCCTGCCACCCACTCCGAAGCCGTACGGGCGCCATGGGAGGGCACAAGTACATACGTCAAGTACGGCGCTCAGTGTACTCGAATGCATGCAAAATATGCGCGTGTGCCTCGTGCCTCCCCCCAGTCCCACGCGGAATCAGTCATTTATCGATTCCATTGTCACAGGGTCTCAAGAGTGGGGAGCAGAAGCAGAAGCAGAAGCAGAAGAAGAAGCCGAAGCCGAAGCCCCGCTCCAGTCAGCAAAAGAAAGTGAGTGAGAGAGAGGCCGAGACAATGTCACTTCCATTTTCAGCTACTCAATGTAAGCCACCGCCTCGTAAACACTCCATTGATTCCGTGCCAATTAGCTGGGCTTTCCCCGCCAATCATTTGTTTGGGTGCGGCGAGGGGGGAACAAGGGAAGCAAGAACTAACGTAGAAACTCCCCTCCATGCGCCCCAGACGTGTATGAAATCGAAGACACGAGAAATACGCTGGCAGCCAAGCGAAATGGATTGAAATCCATACACAGTCTATTATTTGCAGTCAGTAGGGTATTCCTGGGAGGTTGGTCCTGAATTCCGTCAAGTATCGCTTGGATCGGTCCCCATATGTGCATGTTTTCGCCATAATAAATAAATTCCACTCAATTAACAGCTTGGATCTGTTAAAATCGTCAGTATTGAGAGCAATCCACATCTGGCAACGCCAAGTGATTTACTACTTTTCCTCTCTCACTCTCTCTCACTCAATGTTTGGCTTCCGCACACCCATACACTGGCCAGTGAGTGAGCAGGGCAGCGCAACAAGTTAACAGACAAGGCTACGCAGCAGTGAGCGGAAAAGAGAATGGGAGAGAGTCGAGTGCATTTGCGCAACTGCAACGGACCAAGTGAACAATGTAGTGGTCGGCGAGGGGGGAGGTGAAGTATGGTGGCTAAATATAAAGAGTACTTTGGAGTATACTCATATAGAGAGTATAAAGAGTACTTTGGAGTATACTCATATAGAGAGAGTTGTGAACTAAATAGGCAACTGATGCCTTACCTTGTTTAAATACGCCTTGCTAGATTTTGGCAACTACGCTCCTCTCCTCCGCCGAGAAGTGCAAGCGAGAGAAGGAGCAGCAGCAGCTCACCCTCCCACTCTCTCACTCTCTTTGCTTATGCGATCTTGAAACAAAACAAACACAGACGAACACTTGTTTAACCAGACGTACTCTCTCTCTCTCTCTCTCTTTCTCACACACACACACACTCACACTTGCTACTTCCCACTCACTCGCTCTCTATTCGTTGCCTTTGGTGGGAGGTAAGCAGCGCAGTCAACGGGTTCGGCGCAGACGGCAGGGCAGTCTCACTCATGTTAAAAAAAAAACCCCCCCCCCGTAAGGAAACCAATTTCGTCGTGCCGAGGCTTTTATACCCTAGAATTTGGAGGAGCCATTTACCAATGTAAATGGTAAATGTGGACCCTACATGATATATGCAATTCCACCATATCCGGACAATTTCGACAAAGATTATCCATTAACAATGTCATTGATTCCGACCGACAGACAGAAGGACGGACATGACTATACCGAGTCGCCTTAACATACTTCATTCTGATCAAAAGTCCATTAACAGCGTTACAAACTTTTGCTAAATAGGAGAGTACCCTCTTCAAGGGTATACAAAATAATTAACATGAGTGAGTTGCTTGCTCGGAGATTGGCTACAAGCGAAGCAGCTCACTCATGTTAGCAAAAAGATACAGTGAATATTAGTGGTTTGTACATGGAGAGAGAGAGACATTCAATCGAACAGCGCGAGCGCGTAGCTCATCGAAATCGAAATCGAAGAAGGCAAAGACGAGTGTAAAGAGAGATAGAGAGAGAGAGAGAGAGTGCCACCCCCCTTTGGGCCCCACCGCTTCTTTTTGTTTTTTGTTTTGTAATAAATAGCGCTGTATAAAGCGACCACGCTACCAAACGGCAAGAACCCGCGCTGTGAGCTGTGAGCAGAGCAACAACGCAGGTCGGTACCCCCTGCACCCCCCTTCAATATACAACCGCCGCCAACGAAAGGGAGAATCGAATCGAATCGACTCAAACCGAACCCCCGAACCGTCGTCCGCAGGCTAGAACTAAAAGAAGAATCGGTTGAAACAGCTGGAATAAAACCAAACCAGCAGAGCAAAGCAAAACAAAAACAGAATTAGCGACAGGCCAAAAAAAAAAAAAAAAAACGAAAAAAAGAGAGAAAACATACGTTTCCCTCTCCACCGTAACGCCGCGATTTTCCCCCTGGAAAAATATGACACAGATATACTATATAAATTATAACAAGTATATTTAAATTTCATTGTGATAAGAAAAAAACTCTGAAAAATCAGCATTAAGCGCAGACTGATCGAAAATTTAACAACAAAATAAAGTATACATAAAAACCTCCTACAAAAAGGAGAGAATATCATGATATTGGATTAAAAAAAAATATATATATATAAAAAGAAAAGAGTTGCAAAAAATTATTTTCAAAATTTTTTTCAAGTGTGTTACAAATCAAAGACCGAACAAAAATGTCAAAAAAAAAAAGTAAAATAACAACAAATGGAAAAATATAATTAAAGCAGATGCCAACAAAAAGCGAAACAAGAACATTTAACAGCGTAAAAAGAAAATATCCATAAATCTATATATACCATAAATTATACATATATGTAGATAGACGGAGAGGAGAGCCCGGAGAACGGAACGGAACACGGACAGAACAACGCAGAACAGAACAGAACACCTTAAAGCCAAAAACCAAAGCAACAAAAGCGAACGAAGGAAGGAACAACAAAAGAACGAGCCAGAAGATACCAGCGGGAGAAAGACAGAGACAGAAGGCGAGAACACAACAAAGAACACAAGACAGAAACAGAAACCGAAACCGAAACGGCATAAAATAGAGCTGAAAAAGTTAGAGGAGGAGAAGGAGAAGGAGAAGGAGAAGAAGAAGGTGGAAAAATGACAACGAAACAACCAAGAAAAGTGGCCCCCGATGGCGGCTGGGGTTGGGTTGCCTGCTTTGGCGTTAGTTTGGTCAACGTAAGTCCCACCTTAATATATATGTACATACAAATATATATACATACTATGTATAACCACACATTCCACACATTCCAATTAATTAGCTGACAAGAGAAAGGAAAGAAAGCCAATCACTCTGCGGGCTTAAAACCCTTTCATCCTGCAGACTACTTTCTTCTCTCGTGTCCCCCCTTTTTCCTGGTGTATTAATGGTTTTGTACTTAGGATAGGTTAGTTACCAAGTTGCCCCTGCTCCCCGTCCCCCGTTCCCCGTCCCCCGTTCCCCGTCTCCTGTTCCCTGTCCTGTGTATGTGGTAGTTCTCATTTGATAAGCTTCAATTGAAATATGACCAAATTTAATATGTTTATATCTCAAATGCTTACATGGCGATTTATGGGCCATCTCTAATAAATATTATTATGGCCAATAAATACAGCAGATATGTACATATGTAGACATTTAATCAAATCATAAATACAAAAGCTAATCTATTGCATTAGAGGGATTCTACTGGGTTAATTGTTGACAATCCATCTGTTAAAAAGTGCAAAAAGGAAAACCAAGTTCTCAGTTCCATGCCATGTCTGACCGACCAGTCATCCATCTATGTATGTACCTGGTCTCTGTCCTATAGTGCAACTTGTCTTTCCTTTCCTTTGTGCTCCTGTGTGTGTGTACACCAAGGTGGATCTGTGTAGCTGTGTATCTGCACCCCCTGCTGCAGACAGCAGCCAAGAAACAGCTGCTTTTCCCAAAGAAGGAGAGAGAATGAGGAACAAAGAGCAGAGGCGGGAGGCAAAACGAACAAAATAAAAGGAGTCTACTCCGATCCGATCATGGCCATTGCGTCGTTCGTTTTGGGCTCGGCTCGGCACTGCTCTCCTCCGGGGAGATCGGCTCTACAATGCTCATGTACTGTTTCGGGGCACTGCTTTCGGTCGTCACGCACCAGACGCGTGATATCGAAAATGTGTCTCGAGTGTTGTATACCCTTTTTGCAGCGGGTATCTTCGTTTTTTATCACAAGAAATCACACCAAATTCAGCCTCTCATTTCAAATTATGTTACCATCAGAGGAAAGCCAAACGAAAGGGTACAAGAAATTCGGCTAGTTTTCGCTGATTCTCTATTTTGTGTTCGTTGTTGGAGCGCATAGGCCTACATACGTGTACATCTACATCTGAACAGAGCAAAGGCGAAGACATTTCAATGGGTGGTGGGGCGTGGCCACAAATATCGAATTGGTACAACATTTAAGACCACATTTCGAATATTAAGATACCAATAAAACTAATGGTTTATGCGATTATAAAGGCTACAGTATATTTGGAGCTATTTCCTATTCATCCCTGGGAGGTTCGACCTATGGAGACTATGGAGTTAAAATAGTAGGACTCAAAAGATATCGAAAATAGTAATCATTATTGATCACCCAGTAGACACACACCAAATGGAACAGTATTGATCCTTGACCGATGATGGAGAATGATCGTGTAGGTCTACCGAGTGTACTCGCTATAAGAAATGAAATCACTTAAGAGCTGGTACACTGGATAAAACTACCGGACTTCCAATGATTGTCCTCCGGGGTCTTTTCGCCCACGGCTGGTCTTGAGCTAATAATTGACCCGAGTCGCAGTACAATATGATATTTAATTCAACATACAGGTGCTGGGAACCGGGCCAACTATAAACTATATAACTCTCGATTGATTCCCTGTTCGGATTGGACTTAATGTCACGTATGAGGAGACTGAGCGCATAGGTGTATCTACTTGCCAAGCAGAAAGAAATCAAAAAACTTGCCTGCTCAGGAAGCGGATAAAAGTACCAGCTCCGGGGATACCCACGAGGATTACAGATCATTTTAGCGCACTTTCACCCGCGGAACGGAGAGCTCATGGTTGGTTTTGTGGCTAATAATTCTATTTATGCTGCAAACATTTATGACGTTCAAATTGTACATAAATGTCTGAGTACAAATAAAAATATAAGCCCATGAAATATATTCTCCCCTAACGAATCGGAATCACTCGATCCTAAAATTTCGGTTTTTTTTCTCGCTTACTCTTTGTCTGATTTTCTGGTAGGGAGAACAACGAAAAATATTCGTTAAGATAGAGAATCAAGTGGTTCTAGCTTTAAGATATAAACAAAACCTAAGAACTGGGACACTCTTTAAGGTCCAAAGTCGTCCTGAGGTGCATTAATCCGAAAAGAATATCCACGCTCGGAACGGATGTCTTATAGATGGTTTGGTGGTAAATAATTTACCTGTTTCTCAGTTCTAAATGGTATAAATAAACAAAGCATATAGGAGCCGAGAGCCAGGAAAGCTATAGACCAATTGATTGTTGATGGAGGAGTCAGTGAATGTCATATTTATCAATGCATAGATCTTAAATCTGTGCAGGGGAATCTGTAAAAACGATTGATATTATGAGAGTGGAATGAGAGTTCGTCAAATTAAGTCGATTCTCCCATTATCAGCATCATCATTAATTCCTGGGAAGGGTAGGTGCGAAATTGAAAACAAAACAAAGCTTGTAATCATAATCGGAAATGCTCCTCCACTCCACCTGCAGCTCCTTCGCGTTTGGTGAGGAATCGGATCGGGGTTAGATCGCTGCCTGATATCGCCTGATAGGCGGCCGATCAGTCGATTATGTGAGCACACGGTTAACGATGAACGGTGAACGGTTGACGGTTAACAGTTAGCAGCTCGAACTAATCGCAGCTCGGAACTTTTGTTTGTTTTCGCAGCGCGTTGACAACACATCCAGCAGCAATCCACTATCTTTGGGTCCGCCGGCCGCACGTTTAATCGCCTTTTAAATCATTTACGAGGCAAATTAGCACTTGAACCTTATACAACACGAAATCCGTCCAAAAGCGAACCCATTAAACATCAAGAACCAATCACCAAACAGTAAATCATCCTCCTCTGAGGCTGGAATGCTGCGAAAAACAACATGACTCTCAGGAACAAGAACCTTGTTGTCAGGGGGCGCGACGGCGACATACATGTGATGCGGTGGAACAGCCCCAGACCATGATCGAAGCGCCACCATGTTCAACGGTCTTCTTTGTGTATTTTGGATTTAATTGTTTGTTGAAAGGACGTCGTATATATAGTTTACCATCACTTTTAAGAACATTAAACTTGAATTTTTCGATCTAAACAATCATATTTCAAAAATTGTCACCTTTGTGCAACATTGTTCAACATTCATGATGGACAGCAATGGGCTTAGGTCCCCTGGTGTAGATTCAAGGCATTATGAACGCCGAAATGTAGAGACATTCTGTGTAACAATTTATCTGGAGAATATGCCGATAATTTGCCACTTGCCTGGATATTTCAACTGGACAACGTCCCGGTACGATAGTCAAGTCGTGGCTTAACCAAGAGGGAATCAATGTTTTGCAATGGCCACCGCAGAGTCCCGACCTAAACCGTATAGAGAACTTGTGGCAATTAAAAGGATTTGTGCCGAATTTTACAGGAAGAATAGAAGAAAAAAAAACCCACCTTAGCAGTGCGCACGTCTTGTAGATTAAATACCAAAGCGTTGCTCCACTGTTCTTAAGCAGAAAGGTAATCCCACTCAATATTAAAGTAAATTTATTAAAAATACGAGGAATACTGGTCAGCTTTTAACTTTTTTAAGTGGCTTAAGTATATGAGCGTGACATTTTAGAGATGGTTTCAGATTTTTTAAATATTTCGCTGAATATATATTTTCATAACTTGGTTATTGTTGAATTAGAACACTGTATTAGAACACACACTAGCTTAAGTCTATGAAGTGTCACATATTCTATTCTGGACACAAGTGCGCACTTATTTGTTCTCTGAAGCACTTGAAAATATATAACAACAACATATCGTAGGACACCTATGTAGATATACTCGTATGTATATTATTTTTGGATGAAAATGGCAGAATGGTACACACTCCTTTGTCTCATGTTGTACATAAAAAACACGCCAAGAAATTAAACAACTTTAAAGCATTACGCTCTGCAATAAAGCAACAATCACGCCCGAAATGGATATATTTCTCTTGTGCCAAAGAAATCTCCAGTTACGCAATAACCAATGATATGAAAAATTATACACTTGTTACCAGTGGCACTCGAAAACTATAAGCCATTTGCACAAACGATGGAGATGGCGATGAAGAAGGAGCATATACGTCCACCAGGCATCCCAGTTTTAAGACTTTAAGACTTGGAATACCCGACGAACGTACGAGCTTCAATGAACACGCATATATGGCTTGGGGTTGGGATGTATGTATATGTGGTGAAAAGTTTTCAAATCAATCAAATCCATATGAAATTCAAATAATACATATGGTATTTGAGGATCTGAAAGCTCTAGACCATTTGACCCGGCTATTCGTAATCGTTTATTCGCCCAACGAACTAGATATCCCACGGATAGTTGGCTTTGTGGCTAACGATTGCTACTATCCGCAGTAATGTATGACTTTCAGAAACCCGATTAAACCATTTTTGGGAGGGGAATAAATATCCTTCGATTAGATATCTATTGGAATAAAATGATGCCCAAAATTCAAATTAAATGCGAAGTATTTTTATACGATCTACAGACCTCCTCCGATGACGGAGAAATGAAATCACTTAAGAGTTTTAAGATGCTTTAAGATATAAACAAAACTTAAGAACTGGGACACTTTATAAGGTCCAAAGGTTTCCTGAGGTCCATTAATCCGAAAAGAATATCCACGGATATCTCATGGATGGTTGGTGGTAAATAATTTTCTTGTTTCTCAGTTCTATATGGTATAAATAAACAAAGCATATAGGAAACGGGAACCAAGAAAGCTATAGACCATTTGTATAGACCAATTGATTGTTGTTGAAGGAGTCAGGGTATTTCCCCAGTGGAATCTGTAAAAACGATTGGTATTATGAGAGTGGAATGACGCGACGACGACATATATGTATCTCTGAAGTGTCCGATTGGGGTTGGGATGTATATGTGGTG